ACCATGCTAACGCAACGCTACAGAGCAATCGAACGAGTGATGCGTGCACAGTGCGTGGATCAGTAGAATGTCTTGATATCTGTTTTTTCACCAGTTGAGCCAGCCCTAATAGAGTGCGAGAGTACCATCTAAGCGATTATCGTACCGTAACGATCCTCAGGTTAGTTACTACTTTCTCTGCTCGGTACGGTACTCATTGATGGCTCGAGTGATGACAATCTCTTGCTCTTGCTTAGCAAGTTGTTTTTTCCTTGTGACTGACTTTGGACGTCCAACCATGACTGAGACGCGCAGGATACGAGCCAAGGGTGACTGCAGGACAGTGTTTTTTGAGTCCGGAAATGAAAGTCCAAATTGGGTTAGTTTCACTATCTTGCCCCGATAAACACTTTGATAACATATTTTGAGACCCTCGTCCGGAATCCCAGTGGCAGCACATCGTTGTGTGTTGGACTTACTTTATTGTACCCAAACTGTACTATGGATATAAATCTTTCATTTGGCAGGATTTCTGACATTGATAATTGAACAGTTCCTTCTCATTGCATTGATTGGTGCTGAGAGAGGGTGTGTTTCTGACCTGTAGCATGCATGCATCATTATTTTTTCATTTCTACTCGACAGTATACAAGATTTATGTATTTCCGATACATCTGCGCTATTCGATGGGTCGATAAACAAATATCGAGTGTGTGGTAGTTGTTTGGCTCAAATGATGGTGCTGGCTCAAATGCCGGTCCTATACTGTATGTTATCTTGAGGAGTTGCTTATGACGCATGTGAGGAGAGAGAATTTTGACAAGTCAATATATTTCACACAAGAGATTAATATGAGGGATGTGATGTGAAGACAAGGTACTGAGTAAATGGGCGAAGGCGTGAAGTGCTTCCAGCCCCGATCGAAGATCTGCCTAGGAGAAAAAGGTGAGCTGCGAATCCCCAAACGGTTAGGAGTCCGTAACGACGCAATAGCAGCGAAGCCACGACAAACCCATCAAGGTAGGAGGGAAGGGCTACTCACAAGGGAAGGTATAGCTAATGAGTCCTGGGCATTGAAAAACGGATGAATTCTCCATGGAGGGCTGGGGTGGCTTGCATGAAGGGAGCCATAATTTGCGCATGTTTTCGTAGATACGATTGAAATGCGTCGCTGGCCCAGCGGCCCTTTGTCTTGACGACCTCGAAAGGTACGTTCCGCAGTAGGTACTCCAGGGTTGAGCCGATCCGAATTCCGTGTCCCTGGAGGGGATCTAGACCGGCACCTCTGGCTGCTTGGGCTAAGCGGTTGATGAACTTGGCTTTTGTGAGGGGGTGGTGGCCGTTTTTGTGACGATATGCAAAGAGGGCGCCTCCTGCTGGAGGGTTGTTGATGGCCAGGTGGTGGAGAAGTGCCGCCTCTGGGTCGGAGATGCCATTTTGCCTGGTGAACGAGACATCTTCGCCCTCCATTGAAGTTTTCGTTCGTGGGAGGTGGAAGACTCTCATTTTGAGCTGGTTGGGGTCATGCTCGATGGACGAGTCTGAGTGTTTGACATGGTGGTTGGGATTGAAGGACGTTAGGGTGGGAACGGTAAATTTGCTGACCCTGGCAGTACAATAGAAGGCGGTTGTCAAGCAACTGTAAACTGATGAGTCAAGGGGGGAATTGATGTCGAGTTGACCACGAAGTGTGCAAATGAATTCGACTGTGAACAGGCGCCTCTTCTTGCGTTTTGAGGACGGTGGGGCTAAGTTCTCGGCTGCTTTGAGGAGTGCATCAGTTTCCTCATCGTTGAGAGCCCAGCACATACTGTGCAAAATGTGCCATGCTCGCACACCGAAGATATAATTGGCTATTGTCTTTCCAGAGTATGAGCCTGCGACGAAGGCGATGAAGGTGGAGATGAGGGTTGAGTCTGCGGGTGCACGATCGTGTTCGGGAATCGAGCATGAGTCACAGTAGACGTGAAAAACCAGCAGCCCGGAGCCATAGGACTCACGGGTGCTTTCAGCCCATGCATGCAGCATGACCTCTTGTACCCTGGCCATGTCACTTGGAACGAGGGCGCTGGGGGTGGGCCTTGGCATGAACGGTGTCCATAAACGAAGCCTGTCTTTTGCTGCGCAGTGAGGGCGAAGGATGGAGGGGATTGGGGTAAGGTCAGCAGGGTAAGTAAGCTTCCGCCGCTTGTTAAGCTCTTCTCCTTCTCTCTCGAGCCAGCGGTTTGTGCCGATGCGCTTGATGCGACTTGGGGAGAGATGTCCTTTGGGGGGAGCGTGAATTGTGACGACATGGTTGCGCTCTGAGTACGGTCGGCAGGTCTCGTTGGCCTGTAGAGGGGCGTTGAAGTCAACAATGAGGCTCCTGAGAGAGGGATGGATAGGAAGGGGGGGCAGGAGTAAGGAGCGAGGGGGGTATTTTCCACGGGAGGGTTCGTTGGCTGGGTTGGATGCGCTGGGTACATAGCGGGGGAGGATGGTGCATGTGGCTGCTTCTGCAATGCTGTGGACACGCTTAAACACGCCGTTGGTTGCCCGGTTACGGCTACAGCCCTTCCACCATCCCTCAACGACTCCTCGGTTGTCTCCATAAACCTTAAAGCAAGGTATTGGGCTGGGTGCAGGTGCTCGGGTGACGGCGAGGACGAGGAATTCGAAGCCGATGGCTTCAGCCCATCCAATGTCATGGCTGTCAGCTTTCCAGCCAGGAATGAGTCACCAAGCTCGCCACCAGCCATTAATCCAAATTGCGATTCCCACGCCTGAACTAGCATCCGAGAAGGCGTTGGGGTCGAAGACTTCGCAGGGTCCTGGGATGGTTCTGCTGACGGAGGGTTGGCATAGAGTTGCAGACCACCATCTGAGGTCGGCAGTGCAATTACGAGGTGGGGTATGTGGCACGAGAGGGTGGTCACTGAATAGGGGGAGCATGGCTTCCAGTTCTGTGAGGTAGGCTCGTCTGGCGGGAACAACAAGAGAAGCATGTAAGAGCTTCCCGAAGAGTTTTTGGACTTCGACGAGGGGGTGGTGGGGGAGGGCTTCCCAGGAAGATATTGCCGCCAGGTACTTCTCCTTCTTGCTTGCCGAGATCTCGATGGTGCGTGTTTCGAGGTTCCACATGAAGCCTGTGAACGGGGGCTTTGAGCTGAAGGGAACATCTTTTGCAGGTTCCCAGGGGGTGCCTGTTTGCGTGGAGAAGAAGTTGATGTCATCCAGACAGCAGGAAAATTCTGCGTCTCATGGGGAACGTGGGGAACGATGGGAGAGATCGCGAATCGGGAACGAGCAGTCCTCATCAAACTCTTCAGAGCTGTCATCTGGGAGCTTGACCCCTTAGTACCATCTCCTGCCACCGTCAGTGCAAAGGCTGCCGGCATCCTGGATTCCACGAGCCCACACTCCTCTCTGCTGGTTGAACTTCTTGAGGTATTTGAGGCGTAGTCGGAAGAAGAGGTGGTCGTCGACCCACTTCGAAAGTGGGCCAACTCCCTCGCTGTGGAGCAGGTCTGCCCCTGCATCGGCCAGGCCTCCATACGTGCCAGCTGTAGAAGAGCAACCAAAACAGAAGCTAGTGTCAATAGCGAATTTGTTATCGCCTGTGCGAACCACTGTACCTGGGTATTGGGAGGGATGCAGAGGTATTGTCCTGTAAGCTTCTGCCACGTCGCATGTTGTGCCTTCTGATCCAGGAGGCAAGCACCAAACCAATAAGCATATCGTGGCAAAGGTTCCATATGTGCACAGGTAGAGATTCGAGTCGATAAACAAGTTGATGGATGGGATGGGGTGTGGTAGGGATCTTGCGATGTGCGACAAGTTTTGGATAAGCCGGAATTTTCCTGGCCTCCCTGGTTTCGGGATGAGAGAGAGGGGGGCTGTCTGGAAGGGACCGATGAGGGCCTCGACATCTGTAGCAGATAGTGGGCCCAGATAACGGCCAGCTTCGAACTCGTGGGAAAGAATTGTGGCAAACGCATCAGCGTGCTTGGTGATGGAAGGGTGATTAGGGGGGGTATGGGTATTTGTAATGCTAGGAATACTGCCATGAAAACCGTATTGTAATGAATGTGGGATGTGAGGGTATTTAAGTATGAGGCGCGACTTGGTGAGTGCGAGAAGCCAAGTGCTGGGATTATATGGGGTGAGAGCTCTGATTTTTCTGTCCTCGAGGACAGCCTTGAGCGCCGTGATCCGCACTCCCACAGCCTGAACATGCGTGGATGTGCTCTTTGCTGGTGTTTGCGCAGCCATTGGGGCGTTGCCAATTGTAGCAGAGCTGCAGGCCTTGGGTGTTGATGAGGCGACCCTCCGCGTTTCGTTGGCAGAATGTGGGAGTCTTTCCATCCCACAGGAACTCGCTTTTGCATTTGTGGATGTTGTGGGGGAAGCGGCCGAGGCATAGAGCGCAGGCGAAGAGGCCAACTGACATCGCGCTGTTCTGAAAAAGCTGCTTGTCTTGGGTGAGCCGCTTCTGGTCCTGATGGGGATGCTGGCGTGTGGATGGTGACGTGCGAGGGGGAGGACGCCCTTGTGTATTGCAGGTTGGGGATCGTGAGCGTGAGCGAGTCGCATAATTGCTCCCCCACGGTTGGTTACGGTGAGAGGACGCTTGATCGCGGCTGGATTGGCAATGGGTCTGCGAAGCGAGTTGGAACTGGGATGAGGGGGGAGCAGTGGATGGTTAAGGGCCGTTGGTGGTACGGGAGTGGGAGCATGGCAGCGAGCGCCATTGGGGGCAGTGGCAGCATTTTGGAAGTGGGTGTGGAAGCGATAATGGAAGCAGGAGCAAAACGTTGCGAGTGGAAGCGAAGTGAGTCAGGGTCAGCTATTGTGGTTCTGTTGGGTGGTAAAGGGGGGGGGAGACTGACCTCCGCAAGGGTTTCTTGGCGAACTTTGTTCCATACTTCTTCGCCCATGTTCTTCAAGAGGGTGAGGTTGAAGACGCTAATGTCGAAGGCATTGTCAAGGACAAGGGTGTCGTGCCAATCGCAGCAGACGCGAGCTGCATATAAGAGAAGTGCTCATTCTCTGTATGGTTCAGAGCGGGAGGGATGAGACACAATGTTCATGAAGAACATCGTGAGAGCTCGCTGATGCTTGTCTGGCCATTTGAGCTTGTTGATGTACAACAGGAAGCTGTTCTTGGCAAGGTCAAATTGGCGCCACTCAAGACTGTGGTCTTGGATGGCTTTGCGGGAGGCTTTGAAGGATGCGACTGGTTTGAGGGTGACGAAGTCTTCGACTTTGGTGAGGCCGAAGGTGTCATCTGCACTGGTCTTGGCATCATCAGCTGTCTCTCTGCATCCATCTGGGCTGAAGTACCAGAGTTCAACATACTCGAAGGACTTGAGTTTATGGATCGCATATTGGGAAGGGCAGGGGGTAAGGGTGTCGCCGACAGCCGCCCCGATTTTGAAATCGTTGATCTTTGGTTTCTTCTTCTCTGCTTCGCGAAGTTCTGCTTCGGCTTCTTGTTCCAGGCGCAAGCGTTCCTGGTCTACTCGTTCCCGCTCTGTTTGTGCTGTGTGAGCTGCAAGACGCTGGTCTTCGTCAACTTGCCTTGTCCATGCGACAACTCTGAGGTCGCGATCTTGTTCCCATGCAGTGGCAAGCTTGTTGGTGACTTCTTCGTGTGTCGTCTGAGTTCCTCCGATGATGCAATTTCTAAGACCCTCGAAGGTGGGTGAAGAAAAATCAGGCTGGATGTCTAGAACCGGGTCCGAAGCGATACGGGCCATATCGGATTAATGGGAATGGTTTGGGGTGATATTTATTAAGAGGTAGAAATAAGGAACACCAGTAGGTATGTTGGTGCTGATAAGGAACAGAAAATAGCTCGAATAGACTTAGATGTCTACGAGCGTGGTGGGGGAGCGGAAACGAGAGACGCTACCGGCGTCTTCCGCTCGCCCAAAGACAATACTCTAATCCTGCGCTCGTGCCTCGCTACGTAATAGAGTGGCAATGACCGGCCCAAATCATGAGTTTTAACGTTGATTCCGTATTGCCCATGTCCATATCTGCTTTGAATGCTCTCGACAACCTTCCAACGGACTTTACAAACACGCTTTCAACCATACAGTTCCAGCAAGTACTCGAAGCCTTCGCGCACCTTGATTTCGTCTCGAAAGGCACCAAAAATCCGAAGTTATTTCAACTCAAGGCTCTCGTATCTTTACTGGCAGGAAGAAATGTGATCCTCCAAGCTGAAACTGTGCGGGTGCATTACTTCGGAAAAATCCATCCCTCCAAGTGGCCATGCTAGGTTTGTCTGAGATGGTATACAGCAGGAGGTCCGTAGCTGTCATCCGCATGCCACGGAGCATTTTCAGCAAAGAGATTTTTTTTATTCTGTGTCGAGGCTGCGAGGGTCCACTGTCGATGGATAGGGCTAGCATAATCTCCTAGGTGTGCGCGTGAGGTTGCGGCTCGTTCCGGGTGCTCTGTACTGCCGCATGGCACAGAATTTCAGAGGACAAAGGAAGGCACATAGGGAGGTGGAGCACAAATTGAACCCGAGCACCCATGCAGGCAGATGTAATGAGGATGATGGGACATCAGTCTAGTAGTATCGGATAGAGAAGTGGTGCAGATAGATCCCCATGGTCTGCTCTGGAAGGAAACCATAGTCCAACACATGCATGTCGTATCTAGTAGTATCACATACGAAGTACCAATGAAAGCCGCTCAGATCTCTAATATTCGGGGAGAACATGCATCTACAGTATTTCTACCGTCCTGACGTCCATCGGGTATCGAACAGAAGCCACATCTTTGACCTGTGCAATGATATCACGATCCGATGCAACCCTCTTGTATTCTCCGCCGCGCTGCCGCGCTAGCAAAAATGCGCCAAAAGGCTGCCCAAGGCGAATAACTAACCGCAATGCTCGCGATTCTAAATCATCCACCTCCTGTTTTGCAAGAGAACGGCTAGGTGACTCGTCTGACGGGGAGGAAGGTGGCGTCCAATAACCTTCCCCGCTCTCCATATCGTCTAGTAGATTTGCAAAGTCTGGTGGCTCGAGGAGAGACCGATCCCAGGGATAGACAAGCACAAACGTTTGATGAAGGGGCCTTGTCCGCGAGAACTCAATCGGCTCTTTGGTGGTGATCAGCAGGTCATAAAGCCCGTCTGCCTTGACTTCATACCGAGTCTCCTGGGATGCACTGTAGCTCAGACTGACTTCTGTAACACAGAACGCTATGCAAGGCAAATGCAGTCTGCAGTTCGCGAAACGAGCAGCGCTCGTGTTATCAAGCCGGTCGTAAAGATTCGAAGCCAATTCCACAGCCAGAGGATTTTTTCGCAGCGAAGACATAGCTGTCTGAATCTGGTCTTCGGACAAAGATGGAAGGGTGCATGGAAGAGTGGCGTAAGAGGTAATAAAGGCTGGAAGACAGCTATTGAACTCGGAAGGTTGTCCAATCCAGTCGAGGACGGTGATGTCGCCCGACCGAGCCACGATCTCCTGTAGGAGCCGCCCGAGCGCGTTCTGCTTCTTCTCGCCATAGATTACAGGTAGGTGGACACCGAAGATACCAAACAATGAGTACGCGATATCTTCTTGCAATGTAGTAACACGTGATGATGCCCATTGAAGCCTCCGCCGGGAGTCGATCATCCCCGGACGGAAGGAGATCAGGGCCCGTGCATCTATGCCTGTCGCACCCTCCAACTCCTTCATGATTGTGGGGGACTCTTTGTGATTGGGAGTGCGATCGTCGAGATATAATGACCAATCCTTCTGATAAAAGATAACAACTTTCGGAGCGACAAATTCTTGAAATGTCCATCCTCGCTCGTTCCAAACACTGTTCGCCAGTGCACCAGACTGGGATGAAGGGGGGACATCGCATAGGTAGACGATGGTAAGCGCTGAGTGGCGGTACCATACGAACATGGAGTTGACCGATTCTTGAAGCTCAGTGTTACTCTTCTTGTCGATGCAGCATGTATCCATCCATGCCCAGCAATACCCAGCGTCACGAGCGATTTCACAGAATGACTGCAGTTTCTTGATACCACCAAGTCCACTCAACTCGTACACAACTTTGTCCTGGATGTCGTGCAGCAGCGCCTCCTTCTCTTCCCATCTGTGTGATAGCAGGACGCAGCGAAAGTACATCGCTACCACTTCCTTGATGCGCTCCATTTGGAGTTCTGAATGCTTTGTTATGAATGACAAAAGCTCTTTGTACTTTGCACTCGTTTTGAAGGCGTTTAGTTGTGCCGCCCGATCGCACAGAAGACCCGTGGAGGTATTGAGTAGACGTAGCGGGGCATATTCGAGTTCAATCCAAACCGCTCGTTGAATAGCTTCTTCTCTTATCATTGCATCTGGGTCTGAGGGTATTGAAGTCGTGGCTATGCCAGTATCATCAGCCTAGAGTATATTAGTCGAGCACAATCAGATCTTTGAATGAGAGTGTCACGTACACTGAGTGCCGACTTGTTAGCCTGGCAGGGCGCGTTCAGTTGTGAGAATGTAATACAATGAAACATGCCTGTCAACTCACCTTCGAATCTGACAAAAGGTCGTTGAGGCCAGCTTCAATCACAGCAACATCCCGTAAGTACACGTTTTTGTCCCAGCAGCCAGTGACTAATAGCTTTCCATCCATGGAAAAGGATACACAATACACTTCCTCTGCGTGCTGGAGGGGGGATCTGATGGGTTGGCTGTTCTCGAGGTTCCACAATTGCGCTGTCTTGTCGCACGATGCGCTTGCGAGGATGCGGTCATTTGGAGATACTGCAATGGCAAAGACACCTTCGGTGTGCTCTTCCAGTATCGCAATTTGCTTCCACTTGGTTGTATCCCATGTCCTAATTGAGCAATCGAATGACCCGGAGATGAGCATTTTTCCGTCCTTGGTCCAAGCCAGGCAGCGAACAGAGTCCGTGTGTCCTTCAAGAATAGTGACAAGCTTGCCAGTCTTTGCATTCCAGATTTCGACTGAGTGTGTTCCAGTGAAGGGCCCATCACGTCCACCAGTTGCAAACATAGTCATGTCTGGTGAATAGACGACTGCCCACACTGTTTGGTGCGCACTGGTCACGATCGATGCTCGAAGTGTAGCTCCCCCACTTTCCACGTCCCATTGCCTTGCAGTCCCATCATCAGATCCGCTTAACACTCTCCGACCATCTCTACTCCAGCAGACAGATATCACCGCTTGTCTGTGCCCCGTCCATTTAGCCATAACCTTGCCGGTGTCGATGTCCCACAACCTCACTGCATGATCATCACTCCCGCTAACCACTTTCTTCCCATCTGGAGACAATGCTATACTGTGCACTTTACTTTCTCCATCTCTCCAGTCTTCTCCAATTTGTGCCCCATTCTCCAAGTTCCACACTCGGAGTGAGCTGTCATATGAACAAGTGATGATCTGCTGTCCGTTGGGCAGGTGTATGACGCCCGAGATCCAATCAGTGTGTCCTTTGAATTCCTGGCGGAGTGTTATCTCTGATGTATCCTGCGCCCCAGCAACGGATGAAGACATAGTCAACTACTAAGTGCAGCGCTGTCTCAGCTTTCATCTGTCAAATTTCAAAATCAGCACTTACGAGGGGGTCTATCAGCAGTGATGGACGGACGACAGGGAATAATGGTTGTTTTGGTCAAGTCAGTTCAGTTCTTTGCTTCCTGGTACGTGTTCGCTTCACAGCTTATATGTACACAGCATAGGCTGTGCAGCTGAAACGCCCAAAAATCATCTCATTCGGGTCACGGAACGTGACTCCCTCTACTAAGTCGGAGAGCTGCTCAATTCTTGTTCGCGGGCTCAGCCCGGACCTGAACACAGGCTGAACTTCGAGCACATCTCGCAGGGCAAGCCCAACTCATGAGGCTCGCAGCTGTGCCGGAGAACAATGACGATGACCCCAATGAGCTTGGCAATGATGGTGACCTTGACGATGATCATCTATCTGATTCTGATGTATTGCTCATGGCAACTCTCCGAGAATATCGATCCCTTGCAATATCTATTATTGGTGATGGTTCACGAATACAACCGGATTCCTCGATGCAATGACCTCTTTTCATGCCACTTACAGTTCCTCACCATGGGCGTCTCATCAAAGTCGATAACTTTTTCCGGTACCTATTAGTTTGAGTCCAAGTCGTGGTTGAAAGCTTGCTCGTTCATCCATTATACATTATTCACTTACGTTGAGTGGACCAGGTTACGAAATCTATGAGACACACCTGTCTAACATATGAAGTACTGGAATCGAGACGAACTCTGAGGTGAAAGAAATATGTGATTAGTAGATTAGTAGCAGCATACTGTCCGCCCATCCCACAGTCTCATATGTCTGAGACTCTGAGTACAATCCTATACAAGATCCACCAGACTACAATACCAAAGAATGACCATCGCCCTGCATCAAACTAACAAATAATACACTCCTTCCCTCCTTCCTCAGTTTTCACCAACCTCGTCTCTAGCCGCGCTCGTAAACTACCATCAGGCGCGATATGCGGGGATGTGCTGCAAACGGACGTTAGCGTCTATTACTTCGATTCCCCGATCTGTCGTTGGATATTATGAGAGGACATGTGGAAAACTCACTCAAACATCAACCCGCCCCCATCTTGTTCGCCGAGTGGCACTACGATTGCAGAGACATAGCACGTGCCATGTTCGGACCAGGTATCAGGTTTGGCGGTAGGATGAGGTAGGGCATGTGGATCTGCGGCGAGAGACGTCATTGGTCAGTTTGCTATATGTATGATGGATAGACAGCCAGAATTTATGATGATTCATTCAACAGAAGCTTCTCGCTTCATTGCAGAAAAATTAAACAGTATTGAAAGAACCTCACCTCCATTCCTCGTACGACAAGCAAGCATAGACTCGCCTGCACTAAAACGGAGCACCACCGGAGCATGCCCACTGGCACACAATCCTAATGAGGCATTCCTCAACTTCACGAGCTGCTTCTTGGGCGTGAAAGCTGTGGCCTTGCCATCCAACACAGATGTTAACGTATGCGAGGAACGGGACGAGGACAATTGCTTGAGCGAGGGAGACGAACAAGTCTGCATTAGCCTGCGGTGGGGGTGTGAGGGAGGTGGAAGTAACATCTGTTTTCTGTCCATGTTTCTGTGTAGGTGTATGTGCACCCGAGCACGTTGCATGGCAAGGAGAGCCAGCAGAGCTAGGCGAGGAAGGAGGAGAAGGCGAGCGCGCACGCGCTTGTCCATCATAGTTGAAGTCCCACTTCCCTGCCTCATAACCCCCAAACCCCACTCCGCTCTCAATGTCATAGCTTTTCTCTCCGCCTGAGAAACTGGCCCTGTAGATGTGCTCTTTTGGCAAGTAGGAATTTTCCTTTCTTGGTGAACGTGGAGAAGGCCCTGGAGAAGGAAGGGGAGGAGGTCGATCGATGATTACTGCTGCATCCACGTAGGTTGGTAGGCTGTGCTCGAGGAGGGAGAGTGAGACGTGCAATGTTCCTACCGCTCTTGTGGCTTTGGTGCACTTGGTGTTGGGTTGGGGACGATCGGTGGTGAAGAAGGTTAGTGCGAATATACGACCTGAAATGCAAAGAACGTTAGCTGGATTTTCTTAACGGTAAAGAAACTAATGAAGAATCAAGGCAGGAATGAGGGTTAAAGGAGCACAGGATATTCACCAGAGGCAATGAATTCCACGCTCACGCTTCCAACCGCACGTATACGTTTCTGCCACATCGCGATATCCAGCGTTGCAGCAAAGGCACCATTAGGACCCTCTTCAATACGCACGTCATCTGGTGGGCGCTGACAAAGAAGCAGTCTATCAGCGGCTAATGAGTCAAAAGCATCAGCTCCAATCCAGTTTCTCAACTCAAGACTCACCACTCCGTAACCCACTTGCGCACAACCCCGCACTGAGTCTAAGGTTTTGGAACAATTCCTGATTACTTGCCACCAAACATGCCTTCCTCATTTCACTTTGCGTTACAGGCGTTAAAGGGGAGGAGTGCCTGAGCAATGCATCGAGGAGCGAGGGGCGATAGTGGACGATAGCCCAATAGATGGCAGTGTGACCTGCTACAGTTGGCTCTTGAAGAAGCGTAGACAGTGACAGGTTCTTCGCAGAGCAGGATTGGGCGCAGGAGGCTAGGATTTCGTGTGGATCTGGGAGGGACACTTGCGGAGATTTAGGATTCAGGTTGACAGAGTTGGTTGACGGAGGAACGACGAGATCGTGAATAAGCATGAGCACAGACTGACGGACATGTTTCGTAGCTTTGGAGGATGTGAATGGGAGGAGAGAAAGCCATGAGCTTGAGCCAGATTTTGTTTTACATGCCTTGGCGTGCTTGCGCTTCTGGCAGGAGGAGGACGCAGATTCTGCGGGAACGGTTTTGCGGGAATCAAGCTGTGGGCGTTCTGGGAGAGATTTGTCCACGTCCACTGCGGCCGGTGCTGACATCACTGCATCGTTTTGAGGTTGTGTAACTTGTGTTGTGAAGTCAATGTTGCTCCTGCTCCTGGGCAACGTGCGTGCCCACAGCCGACCCCGAGAAGGAGGCTCATATCCATGCACGTCCGTTACAACAACACTAGTCCTGCCAGTGGGAGCTGCCTCATTGTCGTGAGCGAAAGCAATGGCGATGGCAGGTATCGATGGAGCGCCCCTGTGGATTGATAATGTATCATAAGCAGGAGGAGGTGCATCAATCTCAGGCTCTGCCTCTGCAGAAAGCTTGTCCGTCAGGATCATGAGTACCAGCGGTATATTCACTGGCGGTTTGAAGGGAAACACGCAATACGTATGCAAAGAACCACAACCATTTGGATTTATAAAGCATGCTAATTAAATCATAGAGTCATGCACCAACGTTATTCGGCTGTGCAGTGTGGGCACTGGGTTTAACCCCGCAGTCGGTAACCACTTCGAATAGCACACGCAATGGACCCGACACTGCCATCACTACCACAGGAAGTATCGCCAACCCAGTTGATCAATGATACTCACTTGTTCGCAAGACAAATTGTTACGTGCAGGACGCTTATTCTGTTAGACATCAGAAGATGCATATGTGATATTGCGCCAAACTCCAGAAGGGAGTAGTCCACATTATCGCGTGCACACTGCATAACGAACAAACTACAGTGCACTCGTCGTGAAAGCAGCAAGTCGTTTGTTACGCACACCAGCACTGCCTAGCTCCTCTCCTCCCACCGCTCATAGTCATTCGTAGCAAGACTTGCGTGATACTTGTTTTCAACGGCCTCACATACAGCATCAAGATTCGTCAGTGCTTCAAGGAGCGCATTCAAGGACGAGAGCCCATCTGAAAAAAGTCGGATCAGGCTCCTCAGGAGGAAAAGTGGGGACAAACGAATATTGCATACCATACATCTGTATTCGCAGCTGAATGAGGTTTTCGGAAGGATGGGGCACGCTGTAAGCGTCAGCAGATCAGTAAATCGAAACACATCTGTCATATATAAAGCAAGTGATGCCATGCTAGCGCATCTCAGTGTCTCTTCGCGATGACTAGGTCTAGAGGGTATCGACTAGCACCCTAAGAGAATAAAGCAAATCGCACTGCGGCTGCAGACAACAAGCCGATACCATTCACTAACCTATATCCGCAAACTCCACCTTCGGGCTTCCAATACCATCATCAATCAATTCAACGTTCATCAAACAAAAAAAAAACAGAACATACTTTTTCATGATCATCCACCGCAGAGCATTTCCAATCGTATGCGACTCGTCGAAAATTTGGAATGTAGCCGCAGATAAGTCTGGCGCGGCACCCGCCATCTGGGAGAGTTTCATGTTATCGTGGGAGGCTCCGAGTTATAGCTCGTGCACGCACAATCTTGATTTTTGGGCTCGTCTCTGCCATGGTTGGGGAAGAATGATGGGGTCGATGATAATGAATATGAGGTCCAAGGCATTCATTGGTATTTTGTAGGATTGACAGCCTACCTTCCCCGTTGCCCGCTTAGCTCAGTGGTAGAGCGCGTCACTCGTAATGATGAGGTCGGTTGTTCAATCCAGCCAGCGGGCACGATGGATTTTTGTTTTGCTGTTAGCCCTTATCACCAAATCCCCAACGATTCAGTTATGTAAACAGTGTTAGTTGTGGTCGTCGTCGCCGTAGAAAAACCAAGGAGATATGGTATAGTTGTACAGAATGCAAAATACAAGAGTTGAAAGCATGCTAATGCTGAACACAATTCCACTTTTTAAATTAACTTACGGCTCCTCGAACACGTACAACCCGTCCAGCTCGCCACCATTGACTAGACCCGTTCGCAGACAGCTAAAATCCCCATCCCCAGCGTCAACAAAGCCCTTCCTGCTATACCCATCTGCGCAATCCACCACAGGAGGTGAGACGCTGAGTGTGCGAGGCGCTGAGTGGGAGCCTGGCGAGGACTCCTCAACGCGCAGTCGCTTTTGTAGGGAGTCACCCCGGGACGGAGAGTCATTGCCCACGTCCAGCTCTTCTGACGAGCGTTTTCGTTGGCGAGGCGTAGGGATTGGCGCGACAGACTCTCCGCGCCGCGCTCGGTCATCAACAGGACGATCCGAGTCTGTCCGGGGACGCTTTGGCGGAGTCGAGGTACGAGGGACCTCGATGGGATCACCAGTAGCAGCGTTCTCTGCCTCGAGGTCCCCAGAAGAGCGTTTCCGGGGTGTGACAGTGTGCGTCTGGGAATGTGTGTTCGTGAGCTCATACTGCTCCTCTTCACTCTCTTCTTCCTCGTCCTCATACAGCTCTTCTTCTTCTTCTAGCTCCTCCTCCTCTTCCTCCTTCACCACCTTGGTTCTTGGAACACGTACCTCTTCTAGAACTATTTCACTTAGGTTCTCATATTCTGGCGGTTGTTGTGGTTGAGGCTGTGGTACCCGGGCTTGGGGTTCATTTTTGGGCGCAGGCCGCACCTGAGCAGTGACAGGGTTACCGGCGGCAACATTTGCCTTGATCATAGCACGTTCGCAGACAGAGCATCGGCAGTGACAGTGGTGCCACATGCCTCGCGCCATACCTAATGTCGTTGGTTCGGACGAGTAGCATTGCGGCACAGAATGAAACTCACCTGTTTGAACGCTTCGAGACTGTACTGTGCCATATGGGCCAGCGTAACCGGTACATAAGGGATAGGGTGTAAAAGCTTGGGTGATTCTAAACACCGGTGACACGGGAATGGGG